AGCCAAAAGGGGAGACGATCCATCATCAGCTTTTTTCATAGCCTATAAAATGAACAACGGGGACTATTGAGATGGGAAAGAGGAGGTCTTAATCTGTTAAGCAAGGCATTTTCCAACTTTTCTAAAATTAAAAGTTATGATAAGCACTGCAGATATGGACTTTGAAGGCCATATATATCTGACATACCTGGCAGCTGGTCATTTCATCATTCTTGGCTTAAATGCTTCTGAATGTTTCTGCCTGATGATTTATGTATACGTGCATATCCACGGCCCTTGCAGCGGCAGGAATATAGTGTAGCACAAACCCAAGCAATGGTTGGGACGAGTGGCCATTGGTAGCGCCACAGATGTTACCTCTTAAGTAAGGAGTCTCCTGCCTCACCACGAATGGCCACTGCTATTAAGCCTTATACTGTCATAAATGTGTTACCTGAAGCAATCATATGGCATAACATCTTCACAAAATCGTTGTAGTTGATTGTGTATATTTGTTGAAAAAACTACCTACGTAATGATAAACGGCTTATTGTATTGCAGGGCATCCTTGGCTCGGGATTTGCATTAAAAGTGCAGGAACAGCATCGTCAGAAACACTTTGAGAAAAGAAGGAATCCAGCCGCCAGTCTAATTCAGGTAAATATGAACTCAGTGAAAAGATAACAGCAGGTGATTTAAAGTGCATATTGGAGCAAGTTTTATGATTTCAATTTGGAAAGTTTTGTGGAAATAATGTTTAACGGATTGGTTAGTTTCATGAAATAAGTTTGTTCAGTGATTGCGTCTGTTGCCATAATTGTGTCTATAGCATTTCTATGTGTAGTTTTTGCGTTCTTCTATCCATGCTGAAGAAACCAAGTCAAGGATGTCAGCTGCATGGCTGCAGTTAGCAAATTACTTAGAAAAATAGAACTGATCCCTAGACAACCCAAGTGACAGCACGGCACTCTTGCTTATATTAAGCTACTTTTCATCTACTACACATTTTAGAGTGCTCCAATGAGTGATATACTCGGTGAAAATGAAAAGTGTCCTGCTCAGAGAATTGCTTTCACTATTAGTCAATTCAAAAGCTGGAAGTGTAGGTGCTAGCAATTCCAACATGTCTGAAATTGTCTGAAGTGGTTTCAGCTCCAATATCGACATGATGGTACAGATGAAAATTTTTAAAGATTTTTTTAAGCAAAAGTGGCATGATATTTGTTAAACAGCTGTTTTGCCTAGTTTTTCCTTAACTTACAGTCCTAGTTAGAAATGAGAAAATCCTCTAAAGAATGATTTTGCACTTAGCCTTAGTCTACTTGATGCATTGAAAAAAAAGGGGGGGGAAAATAATCTTCTAGCATCGTAGTTTATTTGCTTGGGTGTTTTACGTGTGCCACTTAATGCTGTTTTTTTTAATTCTGAAATAATAAATCCAAATAAAGGAGCTAAGCATGAATATACTAGAGTTCAGTGATAAGTTCAGGATAGATGACAGGCTGCTCTGAAGCATTCTTAAAGTTAATAAATGTTTTCCATTATTACTGTTCAATTATTATTAAATACTAAATATTTCAGATGTAGTATTTATTAGGATAATTAATAAATATAAATCCACTCCTTTTGTACCTATTGTACTGTAGAATGAGCATCTGGAATATTTTATAACATATTCTAATCTACTTCTTCCAATTTTAGTTGCCGGAGGAAACACATGATAGATCTAGGTTTTGGATGTAGCTCTTCTTACGATTGTATGACAGGCCAACCAAAATATTAGTAAGACAGTGTGCTAAACAGATTAAGAATAGCTAGCTGACTGATTGCAGAAAGTGACTCTCAATGGGCAAAAGACACTGTGAAGGGAAGACATTTGCGGTGGGATCCCAGTGATGAAGGTTGTTCAGCACTTCCATGGTCATTTTCATGTTCAGCATTTTCAGTGACCTGGAAATTAATATAGAGTTGCTGGTGGAGGTATTCGCCAATGGCACAAGGACTGGCAGAATGGTAAAGATGAGGGCAGGCACATGGGAATGAACCCGAGGATGATCTGGGTGACTTTATCCAAATAGCTTAATATGCCAAATACAAAACTCGGTCTAGAAACAATTAATTCCGACTATTAGAAGAGGACTCTATCCCAATATTAATGACTCTGGAAAGGATTTGACCAAGGATGAGAAACACAGAGGAGAAAGACTGAGAAAGAAGGGCCAAGAGCTTCATAAGTTCCCAGTATGTTACTCCAGCTGCTGTATTACAGTCGTTAGGTACAGAACCAGAAAGGTAACAAGTAGGAGAAGGCTGATACTATCACTGTATATGGTGATGCTGGTACTAACATGCTACACATCAACTCAGCGTCTACAGTTTGTAAATGAGACTGGAAAATTGGAGAAAGCAAAGAAAATATTGGCAAAAAATTAGTCCAGGACTGGAGAAAATTTCCTATTCGTAAATGCAGGATGTGTCTGATCTTCATATCATTGTCTACTGTAACAGTGCCTGGGCTTTTTTAAATTGTCTGTTGTGGATATTGACAATGGACTACCATGGAAATCAGTGTGCTCTAGGTTATCAGGATAATGTCTATTTTCTCATCAGTTAGTCTGTAGAATTAGTCTGCGCTAACTCCTCTGTTAGATATACAGATACACTGTCTGCTAGAGCCTTTACCTGACTTAAAGACAGCTAAGGTATCGCTATAGAAAACTGGAATATTCCACAGGAACATACTTTTTTTCACTATGTTTAGCTTATAAGAAATATTCAGTGTGAACATTATTTGAACATAAAAGTCCAGAGAGGAAGTACTGGAACCTACAGGACTATTTATTGTAGCCAACAGAAACATAACAAATATCTCGGGCTTTAAGCCAAAACCAAAGAGTTTCAAATTAAAAATAATGCAGAGATTTTTGACAATGAGAATGGTCAACCAGTGGAACAGTTTACAAAGTGAGTGACAGGTTCTCCATCTGTAGATGAAGACTAGATGTATTTCTGGGAGACGTGCAGTAGGAAGTCACAGGGTATTAGACTCCGTACAGGAACACCTGGATGACAATGGTCAACGGGAAGAGCAGATACTCAGCTAGTACAAATTAATGTAGTTATGCTGACATCAAGGAAGCTGTTCCAGTTCATGGAACTGAGCACCTATCTTACCATCTACATGCAGTTATAAATCTAAACAGTGAATACATTTTCAGTGCCATGATTTGGTCACTCATCTTTGAAATGATTTCTTTCATCTTTTTAAACATTTAGCAGTGTTTCAAACCACAGAGAATACTTCACTTTTCTTCTGAATGCTTTTTGTCTGGTTTTCATTATCGTTTACAAAACGTATTATGACACTTTTTTACCTCAGGCTGCAAGTTTGTGTGGGTTTCCCTATGGACTTGTCACAAATAAATCACTGCGATGCTTTTTTGAGATCTTTTATGTGTTGAATACCTTCTGGTGCTTCCACAAAGCCAGTAACTCGTACTTTACCATGTAAAGTGTACTGTGATTCACAAAAGTTTTGGAAGTTTTTTCTGGTATTTCCTTAATCAACTTAATAGAGCACATCCCAGTCTGAGCAAAACCCCCTCTCTCCGTAATCAGAGCGGTGGCATTGGCACTTCATGTTCTTGGTTCCTTTGTGCTTTTCTATTGTTTCCCCATACCAGGCTTCTTGGCGGTTTTATTCTACCGACGCCAGCCGAACAAACCTGACAGCCACCTGGCGATATTATGAAAGTATTCTTCCTGCCCTCAGGCATGTATCAGTGCTATGAATGATAAAAGAAAGCCATGACTTGTATTGGTTACTAATCTGCTTTTCAATTTTTTGTTTCATCCCCTGCTCCCTCTTGCCTTGTTTTTTTTCTTTTTTTTACCATATATCCTGCACGTAGTGTGTATGGCGTAGTTATGCGGCTGATGAGAAATCGGTTTCCATTGCTACCTGGAAGCCTCATTTGAAGGCCTTGCATACCTGCAGCCCTACAAAGTAGGTACAAATATGGCAGCTGGTGCTGTTCTCGATGTCTGTTCAAGCTTATAGAGATTTACTACTTGTCTGTTTCGTCTTGTTTTGTCTCCTTAAGTCCTCTCATTAAAAATTTCAACTAACAAACCATATAAATATTAACGAGGAGCCTAGAGCAGCGGGACAAATACAAATCATTGCATTTGTCTGAGCACAGGCATTAGAAGTATTTTCCGAAATCCCCACTCATGTATCAAGGTTAATGTTTCAGTCAATTCCAAATTATCTCTAAGGAGGAAAATACTATGTTTAATGCAGAGCTTGTTCCTTGGTTTAATGGTATTTTTATGCCTGTGTCCCTATATAAAGCTATAGCTACAGATTTACCTTTGTGAGGGAAGAGGTACTTGTGGTATTCTACTGGGGAATGCACTGGGGAATTTGCTCCTTTTCGTCATAACTTCTGGTATACTCAGTATTGCCTGAGTTATGGTGAGAGATACTCAGGTGTCCTCAGTTACACACAGAGTCAGCGGAAGACAAGTAGAAAGACCTGATGTCACAGTTTGGCAGACAGGAAATATTTGACGTCCTAGTTTGGGTGAGAATTCACCGAGCTCTGGCGGCCCAAGACTCTTCAAGAATTCAGTAAAAGATTTCCCAGGAGGTAGTAAGTTGACTGATTCAATACGGGGCACAAATCAGGAAGTAAAAGATACTCAATAAAGATCAAAAAGGAGAGCGCGAAGAGCCTTACGGGAAAGCTCTGATAAGCACCCTAACTGTTGTTATTGCAGACAGTGCAAGAGAGTTAGTGGTTTCTCTCAAAGCTGGGTGATGAACATCCACATGACAGTAAAAAGGTAATCGTGTGCCAAAAAACTCAGCCAAAAAGAGGTTTGGCTGGGGACCCAAAGCTGATCTTTGAGTTTCAAAGGGTTGACAAGAACAGAGCCATAAGTAATGCATTCCACAACTGTAATTCCAAAATGCTCCAAACTAAAAGGAGCTTTTAGATTAGAAGTTACACGGAATATTGATTTTTGATGTATACAAACAGGTTGAAGGCAACATTGGTATAAATGATGGATATAAAATTGCGTAAATAATGAAGCTGTATCCCACCTATCATATTCTAAAATATGACTGTCCCTCAAAAGTGCATCTACTTGTTATTCTGAATAAGCATATTGCTGTGCTATCCTAAAATTAAACCTTTTTATTTACCAGAGATAACTTTATCTAGTAAGAGCCTACAGCTTTCTGTTATATGTGTCAGCAATGCATTTTGCCTAAGTGCTTTGCCAACTCAGTCTGCAGTGGTATGTACTAAGCATGTTATGCATGTGTTAAAACAACTTGAAAAGTTTCTTTTTCAGAAGCATTGTAGTTACAAGTCTTGCTTGAATGTTTTTGTGGTTGCAATGTAACGTGTGTCTTGTACACTAATTAACATACCCATTTACGTTTATCGTATATCTAACATCATCTGTAACTAAGTAATGTGATTACTATCTGCATAACAAGTATGTTTTTCCCTCCCACTCCCTGACCTGAAGAAAAGAACAAGGGGAAGCTTCTAGCAGGTTTGTAGTTTCTTTTATTTCTTTTATCTGTGAAATCGCTGCTTCTTAATGGCTTTTACATGTTTTAGGTTCTGTAAAGTAGGTTCAATGAACTGTAACTGTTAACTGACAATAATCACAAACTGCGTTTTTTAAACTCATATCAATAGACTAATGCTGCTGAAATTTGCTTCTTTGTCCCAGTTTTTGTATGGAAAAAAACTAGGCAATTTTTTACTTTTTAACTTTGAGGGGTAGCTCAGTTTGAACAGCGGCAGAGCAGCGAGCGGAGCAGCCGCCCCAGACCCAGCTCCTGGGCGAGGATGCGGCCCCCCAGCTTCTGCCATAAAATCGATGCTCGAGCTTCCCAGGAATCGCAGTGGAAGCTGCAGGGGTGTAGCCGAATTTGGCTTTGTGAACCAGCCCACCAGCCCTCTGTCACAGAAGGACCTCCCTGTGGGTGCTGGCGGGCTGTCACCTCGGCGAGGGTCGGTGCTGCCCTGCAGGAGCATCCTGAAGGCTTCCTCGGTGCCACGTCTCCGCGTTTTCCCAACCTTTTCCTGACACCCCTTCCTAAAGAGCGTTTTGGGACACGGAAGGCGGGGGGAAGGCACCTCCTCTGGGCTGCACGGTGTGCACTCTGGCACGGCTGTTTGGCCAGAGGGGTAGCCTGACATCTCTCCTTAAATAAGCCCCACCGCTGCTAGCCGGGGGGGCAGGGGGGCTTCCACCCAGGCGGGATGCTGGCCGAGGACCAGCTGCCTACAGCAGGCAGAGGCAGGCCTTGGGGGGGCTATCCTCCCGGGGTAGACAGAGCCCTGGAGGTGCACAGCCCGACGGCAGTAAGTGGAAATGCCGCTCTTTGCCGTACTTAAAACTCCAATCCTTAGGCACAGGAAAGGACTCAGTGTCTCCAAGAGAAATTACACCACCTCCAAAACTCATTAGGGATGGGAGCGCACAGGCGTTCGGCGGCCAGCGCTGCGGTGTCGGCACGATCAGAGAGTGGTGGATTTTACCTCTGGGCAGAAAAGAATGAAAAGCCAAGAAAGCAAGTGGGGGTGACACATCAGCCCCTGAAATACATCCACCCCCAAGTTGTACTGTGGTTCACAAACCCTTCTGGGTTATTCAGCAGGGGTGGAAAGTCTTCACATCAATTATCCATGTCCCGTTCCACTTTCCAGATGCTCCTCCGGGACCCGACTCCATCCTTTCCCCCGATGTGCATGTAACTGCTGTTAGTGTCACGGTAACTCGAGGGGACTGGATTTGCTCTGAGGTGTCCCACTTCACCTGCTCCGACAGTCCTGTGACTTTTCATATACGTTACCACCTCCGTAGGCTTGCTAGCGACGTATGGATCTCAAATTATTAAAGCCTGATCAAAAGTTTTTGCACTCACCAGCCATATTTCCTCCTCCTTCAAACAGCAACATTTAAAATTGACTTCAGCTTTTTTAAAGGTGAGACTGAAGTTGGCAGTAAATGAGCATGTACCTTCAAAACAGTGATTTGTGCAGAGGGGAGAGGTTATTCCCGGTTGTACATGTGACCACAAATTTACTTACAAATACTTACTCCACAAATAAGTAGAAGCTAGATGCGAAACAAACCCCAGCTGACAAAATTATATTACACACTCCATGTTAGTGATAAGTGTTGTGGTTTTAAAAGTAGTCAATGATTTAGCCAGAATTTTCCACTTTATTTTCACTGAACGGAAGATGTTTGTCCCTTCTGAAACCTTTAAGTAATATGTGCACTGCTGCAAATTAGTGTAGGTATAAAAATGGACTATTCAACTCCTGAGATCCTGGTCTACAGTAAAAACCCAACAGACCACTCAGTGCCTTTTAAAAAAGGTGTGTTTTGTCAGTAGCTGTTTATTGTTCTTATTCTGATATATCGCTGTATGCTTGTATCACTTAAAATACATGTGGTGTATGTGGTCTTTTGTGATAAATGTAAATGCAAACTGCTGCAATGTATTTCAAGATAACTGTCCTCGACTATTTAACTTCTTTCTTACTGCAATGCTGAGTGACTTGCATGGGATGCTATGTGAACTAAGCAAGCTGCTTCTTGTTTCATTCTTTGAAGATGCGTTTGCACAAGTAGTGCATTAGATTGCTTTCTGAATATGCTTTTCGCTCTGTGCTCCATTCTAATAACAGTGGAGAAAAATTTTTATCACTTTTACCTAAAGTTAATTTTTTTCTTTCCTACCAAAATGACTTTTATATTTACAGGAACGAATTATTGCGTTTTGTTATGTATAGACCTACAGTCTTTCACTAGGTAACTAAATGTTGCTGTGCATTTGAGTTGAGAGAGCTGTGCTTATGAGGCTGTAGCTTCATACCGATTTTAAGAAAAATGTCTGTTGTATTTCTCAAAATACTATAAATAAGTATTCTAATTAATCATTTATCAAAAATAATGGTAAACAACCTCTCTGGTGTATCCATGCTGTAAATAGATATTTCTATAAATCATTTCTAGACTTTTTCAAGTAATTTAAAAAGCCTGTATGTTAAAGTCTCCATATCTACAAATGTACACACTGAACGCAAATAATATTTATTTCTGCTCAATTATACAATGTGGCTGAAATTCTTCCTGTGCAGGAAACTAGATCAAGACTGATGAATCTTACAACATCCTGAGAGTATAAGCAGTCTTAAGCTATGCGTAGTACATGCACCAGGTGTCTGCAAAGAACGAATATCACCCATGAAAGGTTGTAACTAGTGAGCTTGAACATGAATTCTCTATCCGGGCAACTCACTCTGGTGCAAGAAGTTTTGCCAGTATAGGAGCTTGGGGGGAAAACTCATCCTTGCTCCGCGGGAAACAAGTAAATTGTACTCCTATTATCTCACCTGTTTCTAAAAAGAGGTTTAATGTAAACTCTCTGCATGCATCATATGAAAACGTCATTGCCAGTGATGCAGAGTCTAACTTGAGGTGGAAAGCCTAACCCCTTACCTAGCAGTGGAATGCTTAGTAACATGGTCCTCTATCTCCCCTCACTCCTAGTAAGCTTTGTAGTAATAAACAGAAGCTCTTCAGGATGTACACCCCTCGGAAACATAGGTATTCAGCATCCTGCCTATTCACATGATGTTTGAGAATGCCAACTAACATCAGGTGCATGATTCATTTACTTCCCCTCCTTAGTGCTTTAAGGTTCCTTACTTCTCCAAAGGAGGTTTCTTGATTTTTTTAAGTGCTTGTGATTCCCCTCGTTGCTTGTTGCCTGCAATGACACTAAGACAATGGCAATAACACCAGTTCTTTGAATCTCATCTGGTCAGACAATTGCAGTGTGCTGCACGCCGCAGTCTGCTGAAGCCCGGTTCCCCTTCTCTGCCTGAGACTTGAACTTTTGGAATGCATTACCCTGCAGAGATCTAAAACTGGGGTTAAATATTTGGCTAAAGACATTTCCCCAAGTCCAAGAGGATTTTTATAACCATGGCAGTTGAGCTCTCCATCTAATAATTAGTGGGGAATATTAAGCTATAACATGCTAGGCAATATCAGCAGTCAAAATACGCAATTGTTGAGAAGAATCCCCTTGGACACAGCTTGTGGAAGCTGTGCCTGCGTCCTGTACTGGAAGGTAGAGGAATGCATGTGAAATCAACCATCTGCTTCAGCCGAATTCTGTGGAAATTGTGTCTCTTACCAAAAATGGTAATTCCTAGATGGATGGATCTTAGGGGAAGAAACCCTTGATTTATAACCAAAGCGTATTACATTTTTTTCATTACTTTTTAAAAATAATTTAAAAGACAATAGAAGTACTAACTTATGATAGAAAATGGAGGTAAAAAATAGTTTCTCTTCATCTGGAAACTGTTTTGAAAAAGGAAACAATACACAAAATCCGTGAACTTCATTTATTTTTTTGGTTTGACAATCAAACCTTAAGAAATTAGTTCCGTGAAATTCTTGTTATTACTCATTGAAGGTATGAGATATAACGCTACATTTCTTGGGTTCATGCTGCTAGCGTGAGACTGGTGGAGAAGTCTTGAATGTTTGAACTTCAGTTTGAACTCACTGTACTCTCTGTTGCATTTGCAACTTAACTTAATTTCAGTAAAGCCATCCGTAGGCTTGGTAAGAATCAACATCTATATTTATTTGAAGTTAACTGCTGAAAATTGGCATGTACATTTGATTGCTGCTGTTTGTCATGGGTGATAATTTTTGTCAGTTTTAGCTTCTGCCTCAGCTCAAGATCCAAAGCATTGCCCCTCACCCTCAGGCGCTCCAGTTACTTCTGATTCATTTTAATTTCTTCCTATTCCCACTTCCACCACCCTGCTTAGTCTGAAAAGCTGAAAAACAAATTGTAAATTGTGACTAGTAGCAAGTAGTAGTGCTGCAGGCCTAAGGCTGACGTAGGGCAGAAGATAAACTTGACCAGAAATACAGGAAGGTAGGCTAGGAAATGGGGGAGTGGGACTGGGAGGCAAAGAGATGCTGAGTTTACCAAAAAGTATAGTAAGGTGATCCATGGAAGGCAGACAAAGCTGTGAGTATGGTAGTGAAAAAAGGCACAGGTTTGTAGGCATTTATCAATTAAAACAAAATCTTTTCAAGTCTAGTCATTTGGTCCAGCAGAGAAGAGTTCACTCCCCCTGCAGTGAAGCTGCAGTGACCTCTAGTGTCCCCAGACACCTATTCCTCCATCAATCACAGGTGGAAAAGCAGAATTTAGAAAAGAAGAAATAAGAACTAGAAAGTCCTTTGCCATCCCAGGGAAGTGAACGGCTCATGCATGTACTGACGGGAAGAATAAGCAGTGAGATCCTACAACTGACGTGCCAGAAGGCAAACAACTAGAGAAAAGTCACTTGCTTTTTTCCCACAGGTGCCAGTTGTAATTGATCTCCGCTAAAAGATGCTTCAAAGCTCCAGTGTTATTGACATGAATATATTCCGCAACTTGCAACCTGCAAGAATAGAGGAGCAGTAGGTCCAAAGCAATTGCCATTGCCAAGGAAGATTGTAAAAGAAAGCAAATATGTGTCTGTACATATATATATATATACCAAACTGGGATAGATCATGTAAGGGACAAGAAATGGACAGACATACATCTGAAAAAATGCAGAGATGACTGAAGATAGCTGTGGGTCTTTCAGAACCTTGTCATTTAGGTCTGATTCAGGGACCTGTGTAATTTCAGAAGGCATTTAGACACCCGTTTTCCTGATTCTTCCTCATGGTTTTATATGAGCAACATTCAACTTAAAGTTTTGGAGTACTTACAGGGATATGTGAATTTCCAATAGCCTGATTTACATTAAATCAAAGAATTTCCTTTGGATATCATGTAAAAAGAGAGGAGAAAAAGGGGATAGAGAAAAATAGGCTAGATCCTGCAAGAGGTGAAGGATTTTTAGCACAGCACTGGACTGTGCTTATCCAACAATCATTAAATCAGAGTAAAGGGCCCTAAAGGCTTCAGTGGCTACTAATTCAAGTGCAGAATGCACAAAGATGCTTGAAAGGGTGTTAAGTTTATCTCCACTCTGTATCTCTAACCCCATATAACAACCCCAGCGGATGAGGGAACTGGGGTTGTTTAGTCTGGAGAAGAGGAGGCTGAGGGGAGACCTTATCGCTCTCTGCAACTACCTGAAAGGGGGTTGTGGTGAGGTGGGTGTTGGTCTCTTCCCCCAACTAACTAGTGATAGGACAAGAGGAAATGGCCTCAAGTTGCAACAGGGGAGGTTTAGATTGGATATTAGGAAAAATTTCTTCACCGAGAGAGTGGTCAAGCATTGGAACAGGCTGCCCAGGGAGGTGGTGGAGTCACCATCACTGGAAGTGTTCAAAAAATATGTAGATGTGGCGCTTCAGGACATGGTTTAGGGAACATGGTATCGCTGGATTAATGGTTGGACTTCATGATCTTGAAGGTCCTTTCCAACCTTAGTGATTCTGTGATTCTGTGATCCCTACCGCTACTGCAACAGAGGATCAAGAGCTAGGAGCAATATAGCCGATGAGGAAAGGGACTTTCAATGTAGGAAAAAGCCTGGTCAGGATGCCCCCAAATGCTCTGATTCAGTTATTGCTTCATGATCTGTTATTTATTACATAGAGAAGAGCCCCATGGCAGCACGCTCCCAAGGACAGCGGCTTTCTTCTCCAAAGCATGAATTCTCCACTGCCACAAGTCATACAGCTTATGCCTATGCTGAGTAGGACCCAGTGACTTCAGGAACATTTCCCACCAGTCTCGGAATAGGAGCAGGGATCCAAGAAGTGAAGAACTGCTATAACCGGTGTCTTTGGAGAAACTCTCAAGAGGCAAAACAGAGTTTCCAATCCACGCTTCCTTCAGGGGCTGCATTTCTCTTCACAATGCAGCATCCTCTGCATGGACCCTTGGCATGCCATTACATTGCCATTGCTGCAAAGCAGATTTATTTTTTCTTAAGTATGAGGTCTGCATTTTAAATTAAAATTTTCATTCTCAGTGTTGCACTTTTGAAAATTGTCGCTAGTACAGATGAAGTGTCTACTGTTCCTTTCACCATTGCCTCATTGCTTTGATTTGGAGAACTAAAGATATTCAGGTTAAGTAGCCATTGTGTACCATTCAACTTTTATAAATGAAATAACCATGTGTACAAATCATTTAAAGGCAGCCATTGCTTTCATTAGTACAAATTAATTGACAGAACAATGCTTTTTTTTTCATTTTTTAATTTTCATTTTTATTTTTTAATTAATAGGATTATAAAAAATATGATCTATACTGATCATTTTTATGGCTATTTTATCATTTTTTCCTTTCATTTTCATCAGTGCAAGAGGAAGACAGCTGCCCAGAAACTTTTTTGCTCTAAGATTTGTCAGAAAAATATAATTCAATTCCATGCTTCCATAACAAATACAACTTGAGCCATAAGAGTTTAAAAAAGCACAGAGGACACATAACTAGGAATAATATCTATAGCAAGAAGTCCATTTTGATTCTGTTGCTCATGCTTTATAGTATGACAATGCAATAATGTGGTTAATAAATATTTTACAGCTTATATTTTAATAAGTTGTACAATGCAAAAGATTCCTGAGCTAAAATGTAATTCAGTCTTGAAATGTAATTTATATTGAAAATTAAATTTTGGAACTCACTTTTCTTTCAAACAGTATGTTCTGTGGGTCTTTTGTATTGCATATGCAACAGCACACAGTACTGCAGGTCCGGGTAATAATTTGCAATGGAAATAGATAACATTTCCAGCACCATCACGTGTTTAATTTCAACAATTGCTTACTTTGGGCAAGGGAAGAAGGGCAACATTCACGAATTATAGTAAAAGTATTCTTTCAAGTGATTCAACATGCCATATAGAAATACATTTATCTATTAATCTTTCTATTGGTATGCTCATTTTTTAGCATTCTTGAAAATTATCTCATTATAAGCTTCCCAGCATGTGCTTTGCCTGTTACAAACTGCATCCTTTCTGCTCTCAGTGATGTTTGTATTCAGAATGAAACGCTATGCTATGCTATGCTATGCTATGCTATGCTATGCTATGCTATGCTATGCTATGCATGGACAAAGATATCTGATTGTCTCAACATTTCACAGTCACAGAAGTTTATAACTACTTTCCATTTCATATAATTACATATTAACACTATATTTTCAGAGTGCAGTACGTTAAATATCTAAGAACCACATTGTCCCTGTTGTCATTAGTTGATTAGATGCAAAATTCATTTCTGTTGAAAACATCTTATGGGCATGCTGAAGTTAAATGCAAAGATTTTGAAAGTACTAGAAAGTGTCCTCACTTCAAGTACTATTATAATTTGCAGCAAGACAGTCTTTGCTATAGGTATTTTAAAAGCACCCCCAAGCCTATGCCAGGGCAGTAGGACTGGAAAACCCAGTAACATCATAACATGAGCAGCTACTGCATTTCTCCCATTGTTTCTCCCCTTGCAAGAACAGGACCATTGACCAAGACAACCATTCCCTTGTACAGGCAATTGAACTTAACCTTGTAGATAAAACAAGGTTTCCAAACCTTGGTATCAGACTTCCTTTCTGCTTCCCCTTCATGCCTTCTGCTACAGGTAGAGACAAACAAAGGCAAAAATGTTAAATAATGAAAAAGCATAGGCAGATAGTCAAGGCGACCACAGGATGTTCATCAGATACGTTTGAACATGGACAAACGTAATTTAAGCACTGCGAAGCAGAAAATCTACATGTCCCACATTTAGCTGACTAGAGGGGAGGGTTATAAGCACAGGAGGGGAAAAATCGTCTAACAGTTGGCCAACTATAAGACCACAGGGCCACCATTGATCCAGCAGTCACAGTCATGAGCTTGGCTGGGCTCTTGTACCTGTCCTAAATGGCCTGTCCAATACCACCTGCAGGTAGTAAGCTCCCAGCTTAATCTCCAGCAAGGACTTTAGTGAGCACACAGCGTATCATTACATTTCCATTAATTGGTCATGACGCTGTTTCTTGGTTGTTTTCTTAATTTTGGTTTCATCCTGTCCAAGTAAGCGCTGTAACAGGAATTCTGGATATGAGTGGTCACTAACAATGCATATGAAATGTTGGAAGTGCCACATCTTGAAAAAGCATGAATATACTAACAGTATTTTTGCCTGCTTAAAGAAACAAACAAACAAACAATACTACATGGCATGCACTAATAACAGAATACATTTTGTTCTTGTTTATCTGAAGAGATGGACAGAAATGCACTGAGCTGGGCTGACTAAGATGGAAATAAACCTATTTAAAATTCAAGGAATAGAAAAAAAAAATCTTAGAGATTAATCTATAACAATTGGGTGAATTTTTTTTCTATTTGTTAATTTTCTTTACAAGGTTATTCTGTACTGTAAGATAGACTGACATTGATAATGCCTCTATCAAAAAACAATTACATCAAATCAGTTTCATTCCCCAATGAAATGGATTCAATGAAAATAAAAGTGTGTAAGAAACAGATTCATGCTATTGAGAAATTTTAGAAATTATTTTCGATTACCATACGATAGAAAAAAGAAATGGAGTGGAGGAACTATGAAATAAAATATATTTCTCTTCTTCACAGTCAAAAGCTAAGTTTTAAGGAGCGGGTCCGGATGGCCAGCCCACGAGGTCAAAGTATAAAGAACAGGCAGTCTTCAGTTGGAGATCGCCGGTCACCAAGTGCTGACATTGCCACCGACGGCAGCCCAACCAAAGTCCAGAAGAGCTGGAGCTTCAACGACCGAACCCGCTTCAGGCCCTCGCTGCGGCTGAAGAGCTCGCAGCCCAAACCCGTGGTCGATGGTAGGAGTTCTTTATGCCTCATTTTCCGTTGCGTACTGCTCCCAGCCTGTTCACGCTCTTGCACACCTGCACTGTGAATGGGACCTGTTTTTGGAAAGCAGAAAGAATTGTTACTTGGGGGCAGAGACGCAAGAAAGCTATAGCCTGCTTCAAAGAGCATGCCACCATGAGGGGTTTTTTTAGTAAGAAATCCTGTGTCAGTGGTCCATAGAGAGCAACTGGTGGAAAACAGGTTCACTATGGAAAATTGGAGGTAGACTAAATGCATCCCATGGATTTGGCTGCAGCAGCTCTGCCGTCACAGCCCCTCTCCCACCACTGGGCACAGCTGCTGTCCAAACCTGGTGCCTCTCACCGGTGGGCCATGCACCATGGCCAACGCTGCACTGGCTGCGCCTTTGCCAGCCAAGAGCACAGCTTGTACGGCACTGGCCGCCCCAGGCAGAGGAGCTGGACGAGGAGCTGGGAAGTGCCCTCTTATCTCCAGGGGGGATACAATCACCTGCCACCAAGAGATATACTACTGGGTGCTTTAAGTTTTACAGGGTTGCATCCAATTCAGTAAGGCAGGTGGCTTTAGCAGACAAAACCAGAGTTATTGCATTTATGTATTTCTTTCTAAAGGGTATTTTAAATGTAGGAAGGACTCCTAACGTGAAGAAGTGGATCTTTGTGAAAATGGGCTGCTGACCCCGCAGCAGGCAAGAACATAGCCTTTCCCACACACTGCCTCCCATGCTGACCCTCTCCATGCTCTAGCTAAGGTCCTCTCTGGCACTAAACTAGCCAGTGTTCAGGCAAAGATCTTCATCTGGAAAAGCTTGCCAAAACTGAGACAGTGACTCTCCTAACCAGGGAGCAGTGAAGTGGGTGAGAGCAGGACCCTGACAGGCAGCAGCCAAGAGCACCAGATGAGCCCGACCATTGCTAGGGACAGGTCCTGCACTGCAAGGTGCACTCACACACCTCCGGGGCTGCCGCTGCCCCAGTGGATTTGGATTTGGGTTTCTCCGTTTACATTTTTCCCAACTTATGAATGTTTTGTTCTTTCTTGTGGGACCCCAGGTAGAAAATAAGGGAAACAAACTGATCAGCTACAACAGGAGGCAGTGACCCTGACTGTATGGGAAAGGTACAACGTAAATCATTTGATCCAAGTAGAGATATAACTTTAAACTCTTTCTACAATGGCAATCATGCATGTTACATCCAACAGTGGTAAAACTAGTGGTAAAACTAATTAGACAGAAGTGTGATTTTGGTGTCTGCTTCCTTTTTAAGAGCACATATTATCACAGACATGTAGGTTCCAAATACCCATTGAACTGAAATGCCTCAGCTGAGGACATCCTACACAACACATCTCTTCAGGAAAAGCCTGGGTAAATAAACATTTCCTGGAGGGCAAACAAGACAAACCAACAGTGTTTGCTAAGGTCATCGTTCCAGGCTAGGCCTCCCCCACAGAGACCTCTCAGAGGCACAAATCCCGAATTTGGCTGCATTACAGTGATCTACTGAGGTGTACCAGCCACCAGGCTGCTATCTGGGCTGTTCACCACTCTTCGCTCCATTCAAGGGCACGGGCCCTGGCTCAAGTCCCGCGGCAGCTGCAGCGCAGGGGCTGTGATGCTGGCCGGGGTCTCACACTGACGTGGAGCGGGGACAAGGCCACTTGCTCCACAATGGGAAGTGAGAAATGCTCCAGGTACCAGAGTGTGGCTGAAGCTACCCTGTCTAAATTTAGGCTTCCTATGTAATCACTTATTTTTATAATAATCACTTATTATCTTCCTATGTAATCACGCGAGTATCTCCCCAAAACCACACCAGAAGTGGTTTCATAGGTTAAACCCCCGTAACTCGCACTGTGCCTGGAAGTGACTTAAGAGACTAATTTGTGGAGCACACTCCCGGAGTATCAGTGCTCACCTCTGCTCCAGCCTACACCTCACTCAAGCATCCGTTTAGTTTTTCATCAGCCCATTTGTCACAGAAACATTTCCTTAGCGTGTCCTCTGTTTTGTCCTGTACGTATTGTCATTAACAGCAACGATCGGCATGAGAAGATCATGTTCCCTCTTATTGTCTCCCTTTCATGGAAAAGGTGGCATAAGCAGCACCTTGGGTATATCTGTAGATAAAAGATAATAACCACAACAGAGCGGTCATTGCTGTGCGCAAACCCTTGAAGATCTTCCCGCTCTTCAGGGCGAGCGCAGCCTGTTTCCTGGTCAGCCGTTTCCAGCTACTAGTCCACCCTTATGAACTGGGGCCAACAGATACGACTGATTTCTCATGCGTGGCAGAAGGAACAGCTTCCATTGTCTCCAGATTTTAGGCAAATGCCAAGTTTCCACTCTGGGACCTCGTCCAGCTACTTCTAGGATTCGTATCATCAGAGAGATGTCCAGTGTGCTCACCACTGAGAAAAGTCAAGCACTACCAACCTTGGTTTCTTTTTTTTTTTTGGTGTGTTACCTATTTCATAGCTTGATATGTTTTCTCCGTTTGACAGCTCAATGAAAAGGATCTGGAGATGATGTATTTAGTTTAGAACATCTTGCATTTTTCACTGGATTAAAACACAGTATTTGCAGCATTTTATTAATATCTCTCAGTTGCCAGGCCCTCCGGTTTCTTCCTTGAGGTATTCTGCAGCCAAAGGATTAATTGTTTTGGTGGGCTGATCTTCCAGCCAAACTAGAAGCCACCCCTTTCTAGATGAAAGTCTGGACACAAAACAATACCCTTGAACAGCCGGTCCTTCTGGTGATTCTTACATCTCTGTAGCATGTTTGGGGGGAGAAGAAATGACACTTGCAGTAGACCTTTTGGATAGTGACAACATAGTACTGGGTACCCAGTCTAGTGTCAAAACTTTATATCAGTGATCTAATGAAAAAAATAATAAACTCCCACTATGAACTTCCCCTTCCAAAAGAGAAGACAGTCACATATTTGCTTGATTTTTCTTTCACTGTAAGGGATTTGGGTTTGTAAATGATCTTCTGTTAGCACAAGCAGAGGAGGAACTACCTCACTACGAGGGCGAGGTGCGCTTAACCCTGTGTAAGAATAAAGCAAAGAAGAAAATATATAAGTAGAGGGTTCAGAAAGGAAGAGAAATTGTTAGCTTATGAGGACAATCTAAGGCAGATAGTCAACACAGCAACTTTGCAGGTCTGAGTGAGTTCTGATAAAGGATGTGGTTAGAATCTTGGCCAAAAAACATCAGAAACAGACTGCTGGAAAAATTAAACATAAGCAATTAGAAAGTGGCCTTTAAAGGGAGGTTTCTAATCCAGACAGGAACTTACAGGGGCAGCTAAGAGGCTAACATGATTGAAAATGTAGTAGCCTTCCTCTTAGGCTACCCAGTAACAAAAGCTTACTAACACTCCCCCACTGCATATTAAAACCACAGAAGGAGAGTTTCTTGGCAGCAAGAAAAAGACTTAAGCTGACCACAGGTATCTCCCAAAAGGATTTTGGCATAGCAGCCTTAGAACAGCATGACCAAAACTGTTGCACAAATGGCTTTATTTATGGGTAGTAACAGTCCCCTGAAACTGCCTATAAACCATTTATTGCTATTGCCAAAGCGGGCCTGGCAACAGCAGCAATTATTTCAGCTACATATATGCGCTTGCAAGTGGAATCCAAACCTGAGAGAGCTTTGGTGGCTGGAGAGGTCTTTGGTGGCATGGCTGCAGATGCTCTCTAGAGCATTTAACAACAGCGCAGGGGAGTGAAATTGAAAACCAAGACTTATATAAACTGATTTTAAATACATGTCCAGTCTCCAGTGACACGGGCGAAGGTGCTGCCTGACCTTGGAGCCGCACGCAGCCACCCCCGTACCCGTACACCAAGCGAGCCAGGAGCCACCTCCGGCCCCAAGGCCTCCTCATGCAGTACGGCTTGTGTCCCTGCACCAAACACAGGGGAACCGCAGCCAAATTGCCCACGGGCAACGGCCCCCGACACAAGGGAGTAGTCACTGGCAGGGGCCAAACCCACTGAACCCACTGTGCAAGTGGTTCAATAGTACAGGTGATCTCACGCCATTGCTTAAGGTGCTGTGCCCGTGCCTCGATGTACGTAGCGTAGATCCAGCCATGGAGACTTACTCTCAAAACCTCTCCTTTGCAGACACTGCTGTTCCGGCCCTGTTGTTTTTCTGCTTGCCTCGTTTTCTGAGGAACAGAACCTTTTCTGCTTAAATCATGCTCCAGCCTTGCACCACCACAGCTGAAGTAATGAACTGATATTATGTTGTGGATGCAGCTCTCAGTGAGGGACAAAAATGCCCTATTATACTTGTTTTCTACCATCCCATGCTTCTAAGCCTCCGCATGAGTTATTGTGCCTTTATTGTAACCGAGAGACAGTGTGTGGCTTTTTGAATAAAATATCAAAAGCGTTCAGCACTGGAGATATTACAAACATATTTCATTTGATTAATTAAAAAGAGCTCTCTAAGGAAATATTTCATTTCTTGCACCATCCCTGAACATTATACGCTCACACGACCTCTAGCCTTTCATTCCCTACAGAGTACTTGCACAAAATCCTCAGGGTAGAGTATATTATAAAAGCCATGGAAAGAATGCGGTTGTGCATTTCAGCCCCCATGTCCTCTGTTCCTACCACGTAATTTATGCATTGCAAAAATGACAGGTTTTCCTTTCAGTAGCACAAACATCTTGACCTCGTATAAGGTTCATTTGATGTGGCAAAGGTCCTTAGTTTGGTTGCTTTTACATCTCGGTTAGCTTAAATTTACTGATTCAAAATGAAGCTGCATGATGTCAAAACAAAGCTGCTCAATTTGTGTAAACCCTATATGATGGGACTAAATGACATTTTATTAGCAATGTATCAATTTGTGCTTGACAGGAGATTTATTTTCTTGTGATTGTTTAACTCGATGATAGAGCTCTCATTTATTACCATTGTCACAGTAATTAATTAGGAAGATCTGGCATTCTGATCTA